AAAAAGTGAAACTCATATTTTATGGATTCGATAAACACAATTGAAAATACTTTTCTCAAAAGTCCAATTCCGACCTTCTATTTCCAGTGAAGCTCCATTCAACTGCAATATAAGGGGCTGTCCTTTGCTGCGCTCAGCACTTTCCAGATGCATCAAGTGAACATTGTGCCTCTGAAACCGGTGATGAAAAGCAACATAATCCAAGTTCAAATTCGTTACATTTCTCAAGATGTTGAGTTTTGGGTTTTCATTAGTTGTACATTTTAGTAAAATGACGCAAAAGAAAAGGAATAAATATTTCACTCCGAATGTGTAAAATACGAGTTTCACTTTTTCGGATTGAACGACCGAAATAAATTGTATTTCCACCTCAAGAATGGCTTTGGCGTCCCTCTGGCGTGAAACCAGTTTGACACCGCAGTGCAAGGAAAACGCTTCAACAAACGTTACCGTTTCGCACGCACATACACCCACACCCACATACATATACACACCCACGTTTCCATGTGAAGGAGGAGGAAATCTACACTATCGTCCTGGGGCCTTTGCCTTTGGGCGAAGCCGCACGTCCAATAACACAAACCTTTGCAAGACACCTCAAAGCCAGTGACTGGTCTTATTGTTGACAAATAAATACATAAATATTTTTTAAGAGGGGGTGAGGGAGGACAGTGGTCATTAAATAAAATGTCAGTAAACCATATTTAGAGAGGCATTGTCCAGCAGAGGTACAGTTTAGAAAATGTGTGTCAGAATATGAAGCACAATGTCCTCTGTGGTCAAAGTGACATTGGCTGGGATTCAAGATGGAGGCTTTGAGGGCAGCTCCATCTTCTCTCTCTTTTTGATCGAAACTTTTTTTGGCACTTGTTTTTCCCAATGCCTGGGTTAGAGAAAATCATCCAGCTTGACTCAATCGCTATGAAAGTTATCATTCCTCAGTGACTTTGTTCATCTATTTAGGTCCGAGTCATATAGTGACAGGCTGTTACACTATCACCAGTCTTTTTTTTTTTTTTTAACACGTACTTTTGTGACACATTGCTGTTTGATGGGTGTGCCACGAAATTTTTCTAAATATAAAATATGAGCCTTGCTTGGCTCGATAAAAGGTCGGAAAACACCGTTTTAGGCATTGTGCGCTTCTGTGAAGCTGCCAAAATAATAGTCCGCCCTCATTAAAGATTTAAAAAACAGAAAATTGTGTTAACAGTGCCATCATACACAGTGTTGCTTCAAACGTCAACGTCTGCTTCACCGTAGGGATGTAACGATTATTGCCACGATAGCTTTATCTCACTACGGACCTCCATAATTATCACCAAACTGTGGGGAGGTTGGCGAAATTTTAAAAAGTTGGATTGGCCCATCATTTTATTTCCATGCGCCCCTATGGGCTTAGCGGCGCAAAGCATCATGTCATTCACAACGCTGTTAAAGTGGGCAACAAGCAATGTTTCTTGACCGAGATGTTGAAAAAAATATTGGTGGGTATGACTGATTTATGGGAGGGATAACCGCTGCAGTATGTGGTATATCCAGTTGTAACATACTTTTGTACACCTGAGCACTAATCAGACCAGATTTTCTTTTTGGACTGCTAAATTGTGTGTGTGTGTGTGTGTGTGTGGGGGGGGGGGTGTCTGTAGGACGTAAAATACAACCGCTGAGGTCATAATTAGACATGTCATTCAAATTGCACATGGTAACTCACCTTTATTTCGAATGACAAAACAGCAGATTCTGTTTGCATGTCCCCCGCCCTAACACACATTTGCCGCCCAACAAAACGGCAAATTCTTTTCAAAAATGCATAATACATTCGGAACCTGGTCGACCCGCCATTCGGGACAATTAAAAATAAAAAAAAAAAAAACATCATGTCAATAATAATCAAACAACAAGTACATCCAATCAGCAGCTCTGAAGTTTATCAGTGCACTATTAGTGTTAACTGCAAAGATGAACAGGCGTGCTTGTAACATGTCACTTAGCAGTTGGACTTTCATTTATTTATTTATTTATTTTTGCTTCCGGGTGGTGTGCAACCAAAGCTGCTTGAGGTATTCCGATAGTGTCAAACCATCGATCAAATTTGAGAATGTAACTTCAACAGTCCGGGGATGGATGAGGCATGTTCAACGGACGAGCTTTATACACTTAGGAGATGGTGAGAGTTCATTGGAAAAAGGAAAAAAAAAAAGTGAAACTCATATTTTATGGATTCGATAAACACAATTGAAAATACTTTTCTCAAAAGTCCAATTCCGACCTTCTATTTCCAGTGAAGCTCCATTCAACTGCAATATAAGGGGCTGTCCTTTGCTGCGCTCAGCACTTTCCAGATGCATCAAGTGAACATTGTGCCTCTGAAACCGGTGATGAAAAGCAACATAATCCAAGTTCAAATTCATTACATTTCTCAAGATGTTGAGTTTTGGGTTTTCATTAGTTGTACATTTTAATAAAATGACGCAAAAGAAAAGGAAGAAATATTTCACCCCGAATGTGTAAAATACGAGTTTCACTTTTTCGGATTGAACGACCGAAATAAATTGTATTTCCACCTCAAGAATGGCTTTGGCGTCCCTCTGGCGTGAAACCAGTTTGACACCGCAGTGCAAGGAAAACGCTTCAACAAACGTTACCGTTTCGCACGCACATACACCCACACCCACATACATATACACACCCACGTTTCCATGTGAAGGAGGAGGAAATCTACACTATCGTCCTGGGGCCTTTGCCTTCGGGCGAAGCCGCACGTCCAACAACACAAATCTTTGCAAGACACCTCAAAGCCAGTGACTGCTCTTATTGTTGACAAATAAATACATAAATATTTTTTAAGAGGGGGTGAGGGAGGACAGTGGTCATTAAATAAAATGTCAGTAAACCATATTTAGAGAGGCATTGTCCAGCAGAGGTACAGTTTAGAAAATGTGTGTCAGAATATGAAGCACAATGTCCTCTGTGGTCAAAGTGACATTGGCTGGGATTCAAGATGGAGGCTTTGAGGGCAGCTCCATCTTCTCTCTCTTTTTGATCGAAACTTTTTATGGCACTTGTTTTTCCCAATGCCTGGGTTAGAGAAAATCATCCAGCTTGACTCAATCGCTATGAAAGTTATCATTCCTCAGTGACTTTGTTCATCTATTTAGGTCCGAGTCATATAGTGACAGGCTGTTACACTATCACCAGTCTTTTTTTTTTTTTTAACACGTACTTTTGTGACACATTGCTGTTTGATGGGTGTGCCACGAAATTTTTCTAAATATAAAATATGAGCCTTGCTTGGCTCGATAAAAGGTCGGAAAACACCGTTTTAGGCATTGTGCGCTTCTGTGAAGCTGCCAAAATAATAGTCCGCCCTCATTAAAGATTTAAAAAACAGAAAATTGTGTTAACAGAGCCATCATACACAGTGTTGCTTCAAACGTCAACGTCTGCTTCACCGTAGGGATGTAACGATTATTGCCACGATAGCTTTATCTCACTACGGACCTCCATAATTATCACCAAACTGTGGGGAGGTTGGCGAAATTTTAAAAAGTTGGATTGGCCCATCATTTTATTTCCATGCGCCCCTATGGGCTTAGCGGCGCAAAGCATCATGTCATTCACAACGCTGTTAAAGTGGGCAACAAGCAATGTTTCTTGACCGAGATGTTGAAAAAAATATTGGTGGGTATGACTGATTTATGGGAGGGATAACCGCTGCAGTATGTGGTATATCCAGTTGTAACATACTTTTGTACACCTGAGCACTAATCAGACCAGATTTTCTTTTTGGACTGCTAAATTGTGTGTGTGTGTGTGTGTGTGTGGGGGGGGGGGGGTGAGTTTAGGGTTAAAGT